GCATAATGCGCTATATAAGCCAAAATTATTATTATTATTATTATTTTACAAAACTTTTATTGCTATAAATTCCATCGAGGGCCAAATTCATATACATGTGTACATCAGTTAAAAATAAATGGTGTGTACAATATTAATATATCTGCATTAATTAATTATGTAATCAAAAACTATAAATGCCATCGATGGCCAATTCATTTATAAAACTTGGATCAAATGTTAGTTGCTGGTTTGTACTCTTCAGTAAATTTAAAGTTAATCTTAAGAGTCAGAGTGATCCTTCACCAAATATAAATAAATCAGAAAGATTTTTACAGTAATAGGACCTAGAGGCTATTGCTGAATTTCTAGTTGAAGTGATAAATAGTATTCCAGGGCAAGGATCAATCCTGTCGATATGTGCATATCTAATTAATTTATTCTATTCTCATAGTTGTTTTTTGTTTTTTTTTGACTCATTTATTTTTATGATGTTGTAAAGGCAAACATATATTTAATTAAATTTTTTGTTTGATCCAATCTGGTGAATTATTACATTTTTGCTAGGTTTTTTGTATATAACATGATGTAATTAAAGTTATACAATTTCAACAATTTACATATAGAAAAACATTTACTTGTTAATTTAATTATATGTCTTCAATAAAATTAATAGATTTGTGATTGAATATATTAGCTTTCTTAAAATATAAGAACACCTAAAAAATTTAATTTTTAAAAAATCATCTGGATCAAATAATTTAAATATATATTTTTAATTTTGTTAATTAAGCACTGATTTTTTTCCCCTTCCAGTGATGTAGGAAGCGACGATGACACTTATCTAAGACGGTATAGTAGATCTTACTCATCTTCCTCTCGTCAACGTCTAAGTAGCAGCAGTAGCTTAGATTACCGACATGGTGGATTAAGAACATCATACTCGGAACATTCTGGCTCAGAAGAGTCGTTCGCAAGGTAGTAAATCCAACATTATTTAAATTACATACTCTTAAGACTGACTTTAACATCTTTCTTTGATTTCACAGGCAGTGTATGTAGTATGTGTGCGCTTGTGCACTTGTATAATATTTATGTGTGTGTGTACACTACATTGTTAGATATAGTGTACAAAACAATAATATTTTTAAGATCATTTCTTATTTCTTTTTGCCAGATTTCTTAATACTTAATCATGTACTAATGTATCTGATGTGATGATTAGTAAGTTCCCTGTTCCTGGTTTTCATTATTCATTAAGAGTAGGAGTTCATTAAGCATGTCCTTCATTAGTTGATTTATTTTACAAAAACAATTTTCCTGATGGTAGCTTGTGATTTTTTTAATCAATTTCTCTACTGTCAGCATAATATATTCTATAGAGCTACATTGTTTGAAATCTTGTATACTATTGCTATGTTCTCACACGGCAGCTAACGGTTAACAGGATGCGGATCCTGCTAACCGTTAGCTGCCGTGCATCCATACGAGAAAATCCCGATCCGGATACCAAAAATATGATGATCGAATCACTGGCCAATAAGAAACTGGAAATTTTAAACGCGTATGTGTAATTGGTTGATGATAAAAACGCGCTCAACTTGCTAACCGATAGCGCTTGCTAACCATTAGTGGTATACGGATTCTGCTAACAGTTAGCGCTAACCGATCGGGCGTTCTCACGCAGGTGCTAACGGTTAGCTCCTGATCCGGATACTAGGGCTCTCGTGAGAACCAGGCATATGTGTGTGACCAACTAGAGAGCATCTGGTCACATGCTAAAAAGCAACAACGTAATTTATTTGTCTTTTCATTTATTTTAAATATAAACCATAAATAAACAGCATGGTTATCATCATTGATAGCTAAGCAATATAATGTCAAAAGGATTTGCTACTCTAAAGAACTATATATAGCACAAAAACCAAAAAGGGTCTACAAAGAAATATTAACATTCAATACCGTAGTAGGAAGAGGGGCAGGAGGAGGAGCCAGGGGGCTTAAGTCTCTCCGTCAGACAAGCCAAGCTCTCTCCCAATCCTCCTTGGCCACAGCTTGTGGGACCAAAATATAAAAACATTTATTCTTTTTAAAAAAAAAATTTTTAGTCCTAATGCATGCTAAAACATTCTCAGAATAACTCAAGACATTGCCCAGATTTTCAAGGTGCCAGAGGGCTTAGTTGAAATCTCTGGATTTTAACTAAGGTTGTAACATACGCTTTCACACATAGCGATCCTTGTACAAATTATTACTTCTCCAAATGCTGTACACATGTGTGAATTAGGCATTAATAATCATGTACAGATATACCTGATGTTCTGATATAGTAAGTGCCCATTCCTGCTTTTTTTTTTCATTATTCATTATGTAGAATTCAAGTTCGTCCTTCAAGTTGATTTATTTTACCTGAAAACAATTTTTCTAATAGGAGCTCATGATTTTTTTAATCAATTTCTCTAATGTAAGCATCTTATAATCTTTTAAAAGCTACATTATTAGGAAATCTTGTTAATACTGTGTAGGACCAACTTAAATGCCACCGGCCTCTTCACAGTCCAAATTGCTACAACATAATAATTTGATTTCATTTCATTATTTGAACATACATCATTAGGCTAGACTTTTTTATAACTTGTTTAGCAAACCTGCTGCCCGCAAATAACGAGGATTTCAAATAAAAATAAAAATTTATTTTTGGCCAATTAGCATACCCGCCGCCACAAAAAAATGGAAATTTCAGAAAAAAACATAAGTTTTTCTTTATTTTTATTACGCCCTCCACTGCATTGAAATCTAAGTATAAGATATGTATATTTCTTCCTAATTATATAAATTTAAAGCATTTAACCATCCCATTACTACACTGTGTACATGTGTACATTTACCAATACAATTTTGTTTTTATTTTCTCCACTGTCTGGATGTTTTAGGCAAAACTATGTGCTAAATAAGAAAACAAACTTTATTGTTAATTTTTTTCTGCACTCTGATGATCTTAAAAAAAATAAGTTCGCGAAACAAGGAATAAAAAAAAGTCTCGCCTTAATAAATTACATGATTTCAAGACCATTAAAATTACTCTTCAGTGGAAGCTTAAGCTAACTAATCTCAAAAGGATCCGCTAGTGTAGGACATGGCATATACAGGTATACATGCTATGGAAATAATACAATTAGCGCAAAAACCAAAGCAGGTCTACAAAAATACAATCAATAATTACTTTAATTGAATATAGATTCTATCCTATGAGTAGCTAATACAGCATTATCGGAAATAAATGTGTTGGCGGAAGAAATAAAGAAAGAGAGAAGTGACTCATGAAATAGGGAAGATTCATACAGATATTTGAAAAAGAGTAATCGAAAGTGAGATGACCAGTCACAAACAGGAAGACATTGTCAGGACAATGAAGCAAACATTTGCCTACGAAAAGTGAGGAAAAATAAATCACAACTCTGACATGAACATGTTTAATAAACCGCCAGCGATAAAGACTCCTTTACAAATGCGCTGTTAATGCAAAAAATGTTGGAAACGTGAGGCATGAAGTATTTTAGATTCAGTCGATGACATCCTGAATAAAGTGAGGGATTTGTACTGTGAACCTGTCAATGAATGAATAGCTTTGCATGTTCTACTTCACCATCTCTATATTGGCTTGAGGATTCTTGATTACTGAATTGAAATTTCAAACGGAACCTATTTACTCTCTCTTTTTATCTCTTTTTTTAGTACTACATCCTATTCTAATTGTGCATAATATATATATATA